CTGGTTCATGTCACCCATATGCCCAGCCACCGCATGCCTAAATAGCTTTTGTTCAGCCAATAGCTAAACAAGCATGACACGGACTGGAGAAGAGATGGAGTGACGTGGTATGAGAGAATGTGGAGCGAAGTGGACTTGCCAATGACTGGTACCAGCAGTGTCAAGAGCGGCGTCAAGATCGGCCTCTGTGGAGGAGGCTCGTGAAGGGCGCTGTTACTAGGCAGTTGGAGGCAGTCGCCTTCCAACAACAACGGAAGGCGGAGGAGCGACGCTCGCAACAATGAGTGGAGCGCTGGGTGGCTAAAACACAGCAAGTTGGCACAGTAGGGGGCATAGGTGGTGCATCAGCCAGTCATTTCAATAAGTTGACCCATGGCACCTGGGTCTGCCCCGTGACCTCCTGCCAGCGGGCGTTCGACACTTCACGTGACCTTAACGTGCACACGGCCTGGGACAAGCGCTGTGGTGACGTCACCGCCACTTAGTGGCTAATGGCGGTTGTTGTCGTGTGAGTGGTGTGTGTGGAGTGTGTGCGGAGTATGTGTGGTGTGTGAGTGGTGTGTGTGTGTGGTGTGAGTGGTATTTGGCATGTGTGTGAGTGGTGTGTGAGTGGTGTGTGAGTGGTGTGTGAGTGGTGTGTGAGTGGTGTGTGTGTGTGATGTGTGAGTGGTATTTGGCATGTGTGTGTGGAGTGTGTGTGGTGTGTGAGTGGTATTTGGCATGTGTGTGAGTGGTGTGTGAGCGGTGTGTGTGTGGAGTGTGTGTGGAGTGTGTGTGGTGTGTGTGTGAAGTCCAGGGACCTTTCAACATGGTCTCAATCATTGTATTGGTGACGTCTGGTCGCTCAAGAGTCTAAAGCAGGTTTAGGGAACGTCCGGCCCGCGGGCCGTATAAGGCCCGCAAAATCTATTGATCTGACCCTGCCAAGGCAACCGCAGGCGGGACTCGAAATTCAATAAATCTCGGAGCAAACCTGGAAAGGCAGTTGCGAGTAGCAGCAACATCATCAACACCGGCTAACATCACTATACGCCTCGCCAAAGAGAAGCGGTTCCGGCCATCGCATTAGGGGCGAGTTAATGAAATGTTTGACCAAATATAACGGGCTAATTTTGAAGTTGATAATTTTGTATGGCCCGCGAATTATGTTATATAAATATCCAAATGGCCCTTGGCAGTAAAAATGTTCCCCACCACTGGTCTAAAGAGTCTAAAGACTCGCTCGCTAGGGGTCCTTTTGCAAGCTGTTGGCTGCCCGGTCTGGTTGAGTTGTCGGAGCAGGTCCTTGGGTCTCTGTTTTCCAGCAGGGAGCGCAGATTCTTGACGGAAGCCTCGGGGGGGGGGGGGGGGGGGGGGTGCTCTTCGAAGGTGCCACTGTGGCTCAGAGGTGATGTTAACTACCTTGCCTGTTGCCTGGTGTATAGGAGCTCGCGGGTTCGATCATGACCCTGACGCCTGCTGAATATTTGCGTAACTTTCTCCCCGCAGTCGCGTGGATTTGTCTCCAAGTCCACTGATTCTTTTCAACGTCACGTGTTTAGAGCATCTTCTTGGTTCTTTCGATAAAGTCACGTAGAAGGGAAATAATAAAATAATAAAAATAAAACATAATAAAATACAATTCTCACGATGTTTCGGCCACAACGCAAGCAGCCGTCCTCAGGTGAAGAACAGGTCTGTCGGAAAGACAGCGTCTGAATGAAACACCACGCGCTGTCTTTCCGACAGACCTGTTCTTCACCTGAGGACGGCTGCTTGCGTTGTGGCCGAAACGTCATGAGAATTGTATTTTATTATGTTTTATTTTTATTTTTTCCCTTCTACGTGACTTTATCGAAAGAACCAAGAAGATGAATCCCTGCAGTCACGAAAGCTTTAAATCGGCGTTTAGAGCAGTTAGGGTCTCTGTGGATCTCTGTGGGTACGGGTCTCTGTGGTTTTCTATGGCTCTATACGAGTCTCTGGATCTCTGTGGCTATCTATGAGTGTGGGTCTCTGGGTCGCTGTGTATCTCTAATGAGTCTCTATTTGTCTCTATGCGTTTAGAGTATTTGGCTGCTGCTATAAATTTGCACGTGATGATAAGCCACTTCGTTGAGCTCTCATTTGTGATAGCCGGCTTGCTTTTGAATAAGTAATATAAAAAAAAAAATTTAAACACGCTTTTATTAAATGTACCCGTAATGGCAGAACTCCACGACTCCAGGAAGTGGCCCTGAAGCTTGCCATAATGTAAGGAACCGTGGCCAATTACAGCCAACGTTAGTTGAGCGTGGACAATTATACCCAAGCCGAAACATAACGTCTAAAAAATAATGTTTTAAAATATATAATTTGAATTTTTTTATCATAGAATATAGTTTTTTCACCAGTGACATAAGTATACCAAGTTTGCAGTCGATACCACATTGGGAAGTGGGTTAAAATTGTGTTACAAGATTTGAGGATACAACAATGACAACAGACAGAGTGAGTTAATAAAAAACGTGTAAATAAAAATATTTTAAAGTACACTTTACTGAAATGTACTATCCGAGCTGCCCCTCACCCTGCCTCCTTCCCCCATCGCCCCTCCCCTCCTTCCACACCCCCCCCCCCCCGGGCGTGGCTCCCCGAGGCTTGCCGTGATGTAAGGGACCGCGGTCAGTTGAGCATGGACAATTAGAGCCGTTAAAAAGGTTGTTTAACAAAAATATATATATTTGTGTGAGTCTATGGGTCTCTGTGTGAGTCTATGGGTCTCTGCGTGAGTCTATGGGTCTCTGTGTGAGTCTATAGGTCTCTGTGTGAGTCTATGAGTCTCCGTGTGAGTATACGGGTCTCTGTGAGTCTATGGCTCTCTGCGTGAGTCTATGTATGTATGCATCTATATATATAAAATCGCAAATCTGTCTGTCTGTTTGTCTGTCTGTCTGTGTGTGTGTCTGTTTGTCTGTGTGTCGCCGGACCATACGCAGTTTCATTGGACGAAATGTGAGGGATTTGCGAGACACGATTGGTCCGTTTGGTTTTCCACGGCGGTTGCCCCTGGTAACGGGTAGCGACGCATTTGCTGCGGGGTGGACGCCATTTTTAATTCCCGTTAAAAATATGCGCACGCATTAACACGCGACTCTGAGGTAAATTCATCAAAGTTTCACGTCCTCTTCACTCCTCCCCCCACCCCAATGTGTGCAATTACTATTATAGGGTCGGTAGATAATAAAATTATAGCGATTAGACATTATTATTGTAGCGCGGGGGGGGGGTAACGGCCACAGTACCCAGCCTCAGCCGGGTGGGCAATCTAGGCGAGGCCGGAGGCTCTGCACGGTACTAGGCCTCGACACCCCACCCGTGTCAAGCGACGACTTTGTGGTATAAACTCGATATACCCAGCGTTGCCCGGGGGGAAAATACATTTAAAATCTTCTGAAAACTTTCAAACATTACATACCAATGAAAAAACAACTGTGTAATTACTTTTTAACCCGACGCGCCAAGAATCGATTCTTTAAATGTTGACTGTACAAATAGTCATTAAGCTGGGTGAGCGTACTGGCAGTCTATAATGTAGACTGTAGCCTGGTTATTAAGCTGGGTGGGTGTACTGGCAGTCTACAATGTAGACTGTAGCCTGGTTATTAAGTTTAAAGTGAGTCAATTTGTAACACGTAGGCTTTCGCGACCATTATTCATAAACAACGTTATTGGTTTTAGATCGCCTTATTTATTAATGTGTTGTAACCCTCCACCACCCGACACGGCCAATCAGTAAAAAAGTGTCACGTTGATAAAAGACTAATAGTTCACTGCTTTAGCCCACCGGTGTGTTCAAGCGTGAAACCACAACAATTACCATTTCAGAGTACGACGTTTCGCTGATGCTGGATGCAATTACCAGCGAAACGTCGTACTCAAAAATTGTCTGTCCGTCTGTGTACGCTCACTTGCGAGGGATTTGCCGGGAGGCACGTCCCGTGCCCCGCGATGGGAATAGGCATGTCAGTTTTTTTATCCGTCACCTTTAAAGTGGTTTAATGATCGATTTAGTGATATTCAACTTTATTTATTAATTTCACCGCGCCGCTCGGTGCTTCCCATGCCAAAGGTCGCGGGATCGATCCCCGCGTCATTCACAGGCGAATATATTTTTTAATCCTTTATATTAAGTTCGCTGCCACGCATATAACGAATTTTGAGTGAAAAACTTTGTTTTTACGGGTTATACTTATTATTTATTCATGTGCATGACCATCCCAACTCACGCGCCTTTCGTGGGGGAGACGGCTCATGCCAAGTCGCACGCTGGTAGTGAGGGGAACATTTTATTTTGCGTTAAAAATGCTTTAAAAATACACTAAACGCTCAGCTAAATTCTTCACTGCGTGATGTCCTGGCACATCAACTTCTCCGGAGGGGGGTGCGGCCAACCGTGCGTTTTCTGTACCATGGGTTTCCCCACATTTACCTTCCGGACGTACGGATATCTCAAGGATCCGGAAGCCGGTACACAGTGATTTTCCATGTGTACGGGAATTTAGTGTTGTGTCGGTCTATAGTTTTGTGTAGCGAACCGGACTTCACCTAAAGCTAATGATCCGAGCCAACCGTCTACAACTTGAGTTGTATGGCCAATGGCAGAGACGTGTTAACACCGCAAGGTGGAAACAGACTGGTCATACCGAAAGGCGTCAGGTCAACGTTTCGTTCGGACCCGATGAATCGGGGGCACGCAACACTATTTTCACAGCGCCATAGTCGTGTTGCCCCATCGGAAGGGCCCCATTGGAAGGGATCTCCAACACGACTTTAGAGCGCCACAGTCGTGTTGCCTCATTGGTAGGGAACTACAACACGACTCTAAACTACAGTTGGGTTGCCCCATTGGTAGGGATTTACAACCCGACTGTGAACCGACAATTAGTGTTGACGCTTTTGCGTTCAGCGCTATTGGTCGTGTTTTCCCATGCACGTGTGAACTTGCTGGAGTGAATTCTAAGTTCCTTTCTATTGCATAGAAAACAAGTATCCATGTCTACATCAAGCAAGGGAAAGCGTAAAGCGCAAACCACGACAACTGAACAAGCCAACAAGAAAGCCCGTACAACGACCGACGAAGCAGCCTCCATACCTGCACCAAAGCGCGTTTTGACCGAAGACCAAAAGAAGCAAAAACGTGAACGGGCGGCGTTTATCCATGCGGCGCAAACGGCAGAAGCGTTGCAACAAAGCCGCGAGAAGAAACGAATTGCCAAGGCGCGCTGGCGCGCCGAAGCTACTGCCGAGGAACTTGAAGCGAGACGCCAAAGAAACCGAGAACACATGTCAAACGCACGTCGCAAGAAAACCTCTGAAAAACGCGACGTGCGACGCAATCGCGAACGGGAAGTGACGTCGGCCGCAGGTGCCGAGGAAACCGCCGAAGAACGCGAGGCGCGACGCCAGGTATGAACATCGCCACTGGGGAGACAAAGGCGGCCGGGCGTGGTGGATCCAAGTCCCGGGCGAAGCCGGGTAGTACAGCTAGTATATATATATTTTTTTATGATAGAATATAGTATTGTCATCAGTATGACAGCTATACCAAGTTTGCAGTTGATACGACATTGGGAATACGGTTAAAATTGAGTTACAAGATTTGAGGATACGACAACACATACAGTAAGTTAAATAAAAGCGTGTAAAATGTTTAAAAATACATGTTTTGGATTTTCTATGATAGAATATCGTGTGTCATCAGCATGACATACCTAGTTTGCAGTCGATAGCACATTGGGAAGTGTGTAAAAATTTAGTTACAATATTAATTTTTTGAGGATACAACAGACGAAGTGAGTTAAATAAAAGCGTGTAAAAAGATCGGAAGATGTTTTACCCTTTCTGGCAATGATACAGGAGATGTTCAGATGTTCCAACACCAAACATAATGTATATATATTATCAGAGCATTTTTGTTTGCATGTTCAACAAAAGTACGTGGTTAATGCAGATTCCTTGCAACCTCCAATTAGCGCAGTTGGCTACGTACGGTGGAAAGAAGTTAAATCATGCATACATAGACTCACGCATAGACTCACGCAGAGAGCCATAGACTCACGCAGAGACCCATAGATTCACAGAGACCCGTATACTCACACTGAGACCCATATACTCACGCAGAGATCCATAGACTCACGCAGAGACCCATAGACTCACGCAGAGACCCATAGACTCACTGAGACTCGTATACTCACACGAAGACCCATAGACTCACACAGAGACCCACACTCACACAGAGACCCATAGACTCGCAGAGACCCATCGACTCACACAGAAACCCATAGACTCACGCAGAGACCCATAGACTCACGCAGAGACCCATAGACTCACACAGAAACCCATAGACTCACGCAGAGACCCATAGACTCACGCAGAGACCCATAGACTCACACAGAAACCCATAGACTCACGCAGAGACCCATAGACTCACGCAGAGACCCATAGACTCACGCAGAGACCCATAGACTCACGCAGAGACCCATAGACTCACGCAGAGACGCATAGACTCACGCAGAGACCCATAGACTCACGCAGAGACCCATAGACTCACGCAGAGACCCATAGACTCACGCAGAGACCCATAGACTCACGCAGAGACCCATAGACTCACACAGAGACCCACACTCACACAGAGACCCATAGACTCACGCAGAGACCCATCGATATCCACAGAGACACCAAGTTCAAGCAAACACGTACAAACGTTGACTGCGATGGCTCCGTGTCTTTCGCCAGGTTTTCTCCCACGCCGTCGATCGCAACTCCCGCAGCCCCAGTCGCCACTCTGCCTCCCGCCGGGACTCCGCGTCCCCGCCCCGGGTGCGGGTCTCCGCGCTTCACCCGGCCCCCATGGAGGGGCTGAGCGAGGACGGGTGGGGCAACGCCGCTGGCGGTGCCGCCGCCGCACGGCGCCGCAGGGAACCCACGCTTGCTCCGGCTCCTCCGTCCCCGAGGGACCCCTTCGGGGAGCTGCGGGTCAGCGACGTGCGCTCGCTGCTGATGCCGCCCCACGGAGACGCGGACGGCAAGGGAGGGGGGGATCCGAAGAACGCCAGAGAGATGGGGAGAGCGCGAGGAGGTGGTGGTGGTGGTGGAGAGACAGTGAAGGGAGGAGGAGGAACCGGTGGTACAGGAGACACGATGCAGGGAGGGGGAGATGGTGGAGGAGGTAGTGCCGGAGAGATGGGAGAGGCGACGAAGGGAGGGGGGGGCGTGAGAGGGGACGCGAGGGACGAGATGCGAAAGGGAGTCGGAGGAGGAGGAGAGTCCAGGAAAGATGCGACGGGGGAGACGAAGGAGGAGCTGAGCAGGGGACGACGAGGTGGAGAAAACCGAGAGATACGGGGAGAGAAGAGGGGAGAGGTGACTAAGGGACAAAGACACGGAGGTGGAGGAGGAGGAGGGGGAGGAGGGGGGGTAGAAGGCGGAGAGCCGGGAGTGGAGTTGAGGGCAGCCACGGCGAAGGGGCACGACGGACGAGGAGGAGGAGGTGGAGAGACCGAGACGGACGGAGGCCGGGACAAGGGAAGACGCTCGCTGCAAGGTGAGGGAAGCCGCTGTTGTTGTTGAAGCTGTTGTTGCTGCTGCTGTTGTTGTTGATGATGTTGTTGTTGCTGCTGCTGTTGTTGTTGTTGTTGTTGCTGTTGATGCTGTTGTTGTTGATGCTGTTGTTGTTGCTGTTGTTGCTGTTGATGCTGTTGTTGTTGTTGATGCTGTTGTTGATGCTGTTGTTGATGCTGTTGTTGATGCTGCTGTTGTTGTTGATGCTGTTGATGCTGTTGCTGTTGATGCTGTTGTTGTTGCCGCTGTTGTTGTTGATGATGCTGTTGTTGCTGTTGTTGTTGATGTTGATGATGCTGTTGTTGTTGTTGTTGTTGTTGCTGTTGATGCTGTTGTTGATGCTGTTGTTTTTGCTGTTGATGCTGTTGTTGATGCTGTTGATGCTGCTGTTGATGCTGTTGTTGATGCTGTTGCTGCTGCTGTTGTTGTTATCTGCCGTTGAGTCGGTTGTCCATGCGGAGCGATGTTTGCAACAACTAAAAACACGCGTTCAACGTGAATTGTTCAGTGCTGGTGGGGGGCCCTTGCGTTGGCAACAAATGTCTCGTAAGATGTATCATCATCATCATCGGCGGTCACTCGGGGGTCGAGTGATTCTCCTACTGGTGGGTAAAGTTTGTGGATCTGAAAATGGCTTGGAAAGGTCGGGTCCGAAAGCCCCAGATTCTGCTGCAGTGGTTGGTCAAGGGGTGTGTGATGGTGGTGGTGGTGGATGATGATTGGGGGGGGCCTTCTTGGTGGCGAGCCTCTACTCGCGTTGATGCTTCTTTCCCTTGCGGCACGGCGGAGATCGTTTTCGTCGAGTGCGACCGCTCCCCCTTGTGGGACCGTCCACGTGGTTCTGTCTTGCGTCATTCCCTCCCCGAGTTGGCAGTGTTGACGTGGCCACTTGTACAGGTAGGAACAACAGTTCCACACTGCCCACCAGGGATTATTTGTCTGTCTGTCTGTCGTGCATAGCCCCGACCTCGATTTGTATTTCATAGAGCGCTTCGGGCGGGCTCAGCGCCACGTGACGCGCCGCCCCACTGGGCTTGCGCCGCGTGACACGGATTGCACGAATGCGCCGTCCAACCAAGTTCCTACCTGCCCACTCCGAAGGAGGAACGTGTTTGACGTTGATCCTGATGTTGTCCTCGGAGCGCGTCGTCTGTGGGGGCCTCAGCTGTCCTGCGTTTAGCCGGGAGTCCAGGCAGCCGGGCTTCCTAGCAACGTGGCCAGTCCATCTGAGTGTTGGCTGATGGTCGTGGTGATGCCCTTAATGTTTGCCGCCTCAAGGATATTGGTGTTGAATGATGGTCGTGGTGGTGCCTGACCATCCCTCTATCTCTCCTCCCTGGCTCCTCCCTCCCCCTCTTGCGTGTATATAGCCTTGTGTGACAAGCAGCCTCCTTTTGCCCACGTCATCAATTGTTTATTGCTGTGGTTGTTTCCACTTGTGTTGTGCCCGAAACGTCGTGATTTAATTTATTTAGTACCTTATGATAGACGTTTTTTGGGTGAGATCGTGTTATTTATTAACGTGTCATAACCCTCCAACCACCCGACGCGGCCAATCAGCAAAAAAGTGTCACGTTAACAAAAGACAAAATAGTTTTCGATGTAAAGCTTTCGTGACTGCGGCAGGGATTCATCTTCTTGGTTCTTTCGGTAAAGTCACCACGTAGAAGGGAAATAATAAAATAATAACAATTTAATTCTCAGGACGTTTCGGCCACAACGCAAGCAGTCGTCCTCAGGTGAAGAGACAGAGCTGTCTGAAAGACAGCGCTCCAATGAACACTGCTCAGCTTGATAATTGGTTTTTTACCCTTCTACCTGGCAACAAAACAGACACCTTTTTTTACGAGGAGTCATGTTTGCATAGACCACAATACCTGCAGCCATAATGCAGATTAAAGGGTAAAAAAAACAATTATATTTTTTACTGGCAAATGAGGTTCCAATGGTGTAAATGCTTCACCCCGAGCTCTCATACTCTGATGTTGCATTGTCTTTGAGTTGTGCGCCTTTTGGCGTCATCTGGTCTAACCCATGTGAGACTAGGCTCTAAGGAAAGCTGTCTCGGGTGTGGACCAATCAACTTCAAGGACAGTGCATACATTATCAGAGTTGTGTTTTTTGTTTGCATTATGACTGCAGGTATTGTGGTCTATGCAAACATGACTCCTCGTAAAAAAAGGTGTCAGTTTTGTTGCCAGATAAAAGGGATCAAAAAAACAATTATCATATTTTGCTACTGGCAAAGGAGGTTCCAATGATGTAACTGCTCAGCTAAGCAACTCCTTTGTCTACCGGCGGCTGGATCTCCGGGACTTTCCCTGTCCACCTATTTGTGTTTGAGCTCCCTCCCTCACTCGGCGTTGGACATCCGCCTTCACTATGGCGTGAGCCTCTCTTTTGGCCTCGTGGTTTTGTGTCGTTCTGCCGCACGCAAAAGGTTCTTCGTGTTTGTGTCGACAAGCCGTTCAATCATTGGAACCTCATTTGCCAGTAAAAAATATGATAATTGTTTTTTTACCCTTCTATCTGGTAACAAAACTGACACATTTTTTACAAGGAGTCATGTTTGCATAGACCACAATACCTGCAGTCGTAATGCAAACAAAAAACACAACTCTGATAATGATATGCACTGTCCTTGAAGTTGATTGGTCCACACCCGAGACAGCTTTCCTTAGAGCCTAGTCTCACATGGTGTTGGACCAGATGACACCAAAAAGCGCACAACTCAAAGACAATGCACCATCAGAGTATAAGATGTGGACCAATCAACTTCAAGGACAGTGCATACATTATCAGAGTTATGTTTTTTGTTTGCATTATGATTGCAGGTATTGTGGTCTATGCAAACATGACTCCTTGTAAAAAAGGTGTCAGTTTTGTTGCCAGATAGAAGGGTAAAAAAACAATTATCATATTTTTTACTGGCAAATGAGGTTCCAATGGAGTAAATGCTTACCCCGAGCTCTCATACTCTGATGGTGCATTGTCTTTTGAGTTGTGCGCCTTTTGGCGTCATCTGGTCCAACCCATGTGAGACTGGGCTCTAAGGAAAGCTGTCTCGGGTGTGGACCAATCAACTTCAAGGACAGTGCATACATTATCAGAGTTGTGTTTTTTGTTTGCATTATGACTGCAGGTATTGTGGTCAATGCAAACATGACTCCTTGTAAAAGAGGTGTCAGTTTTGTTGCCAGATAAAAGGGTGAAAAAGAGCCGTTCAATGTTCGTATCATTCTCATCAAATCACCCTTGGTGCTTTTTATCTTTTCGGCAATGGTTATTATTATTCCAGGTGTTGAGGATGATGGACTTGAGCATGCTCCAGTGGGTTTCGATATCATCAAGGGATATATTCTTTGGGAAGTTCTGCAACAAAAACAGTCTGGAAGTGTTGTCGTTTTCTGGTAACGCCCAGACTTACGATGTCATGTCTTGGCCGGCTATGGACACGGTGAGGCGCATGAGGCGATGGTCTATGCAACAGTCGCCCGCACTTGTCCATCGCCCTTGCGATGTTCACAT